CTTCTTGGTTGCCAGGGCTCACTGCTGACTCATATTGAGCTTCCTGTCAACCAGCACCCCCAGATCCCTTTTTGCAAGGCTGCTCTCCAGCCACTACTTTCCTGATCTGTTTTCTCCTTGAGCCAGGTCTTAAGAGCTCTCAGAGAAAATGTATCACACCCACTATAGCCAACTACCTCAAATGGCATAAAATTAGCAGGATGGCTTTTGAGGTAGTTTTGGAAACAGAAAAATTTTAATGAAACTCAAAATAACAAAGCTCTTTGCAGAGAAAACCCAAGCTAGGGGCAAGAGGTTCTTGCTCCTGCTAAAACCACCCCACAAATGTGATGATTTCCCTTGTTTTCTTTCTAGTGAATTGCTTAGGCGGGACTTTTTGGTTTCTGTCCAATTGGGTATCCTTAGGTTTGAGGTGAAGTCCCCTAGGCCCTATAAGGTGTCTTTTTACCAAATTGAGGAGAGAAACTTCTGGGATTTTTTTCTTTTTAAGGTGACAAACAATAATTTGGTCACACTGTTAACGGGGGGCACATTCCTACACTCTCCCAATCTATAATTGTGCCTGGTATTGCTCTGTCACAGGTGCAGAATCTGGCATTTGGACTTTTTAATTTTCATGCCCTTGATGATTGCTCCAGTCTATCCAGATCCCTCTGCATGACCTCTTGTCCCTCAAGAGATTCAGCAGCTCCCCCCAGTTTGATATCATCAGCTAATTGCTCTCATGGACAAGGGCACCTTTCACTAGGTCATCTAAATAACTTTCCCATCTAAATTAGTTGAAAACCATTGCCCCTTTTCTTGAGACTACGGGCCTTGGTAAAAAGTCTCTCTGCATATTTTTATAAGCCTTCTTTAAGTGTTAAAAAGGCCACTATAAGATCTCTCTGGAGTCCTCTTTTCCAGGCTGAACGATCCCAGCAACAGACATGAAATTGGGAGGAGCTGTTGATAGACCAGATGTCTCTTGTGCCATTCAGAGAGCTCTACACACCCTAAAGAACTGGCAGAGAAGGATCTCATGATATTCAACAGGTGGGAATGCAGAGTTCTGCATCTGGGGAGGATTTACCCCACGCACCAGTATAGGCTGCAGGATGACTACCTAGAAAGTAGCTTTGGGGGAAGAAAATGTGTCCTGATGGAGAAGAAGCTGAACATGAGCCAGCAATGCACCCTAATGACAAGGGGGGCCAAGAGTATCCCTGACTGCATTAGGAAGAGCATTGCTAGTATTTGAGGTAGATCCTTCCTCTCTACTCAGTCCTAGTGAGGCCACATGTTCAGTTCTGGGCTCCTCTGTACAAGAAAGGGCAATGGCAGGAAAGGACTACAATGATGATTAAGGTACTGGAGCATATGCCATATGAGGAGAGGCTGAGAGATCTGAAACTATTCAGCTTGGAAAGAGAAGGCTCAGGGAGGACCTTATCACTGTGCATAAATATCTGATGGGTAGGAGCGAAGATGCGGGAGCAAGACTCTTCTCAGTGGTGCTCATTGACAGGACAGGAGGCAATGGGCACGAATGGAAAAAACGTGGAAATTCCATCTGAACACTCAAATACACTTTTTTACTGTGAAGTTAGTCAAGAACTATAGCAGGTTTTACAAAGATGTTTTGAAGTGTCTGTCCTGGAAGGTATTAAGAACCCAACTGGACATGGCAACTTGTTCTAGGTGACCCTGTTTTGAGCAGGAGGGTTGGACTAGATGATCTCAAAAGGTTCCTTCCAACCTAAACAATTCTGTAATTCTGTGCAAAACTGAAGATTACTCTAATTCCTCTTATGTATAAGTGTGGTCATTTGACCCTGGCTGGATGCCAAGTACCCACCAAAGCTGCTCTATCCCTCCCTTCTTCAACTAGACAGGGGAGAGAAAATATAATGAAAGGCTCATGAGTTAAGGACCAGGAGAGATCACTTGTTGATTACTATCATAGGCAAAACAGACTTGACTTGGGAAAATTAATTGAATTTATTACCAATTGACATCAGAGCAGGTCAATGGGAAGCAAAACAAATCCTAAAAACACCTCCTCCCCACCTCTCCCTCCTTCCTGGGCTCTACCTTCTCCCTCCCCAGCAGCTCAGGGAGACAGAGAATGGGGATTACAGTCAGTTCATCGCGCGTTGTTTCTGCTGCTGCTCAGGGAAAGGAGTCAGAGTCCTTCCCCTGCTCCAGCATGGGGTCCTTCCCATGGGAGACAGTCCTCCACAAACGTCTCCAACATGAGTCCTTCCCACAGGTTACAGTCCTTCAGGTACTGCTCCAGTATGGATCCCTTTCCATGGGGTGCAGTTCTTCAGGCACAGCCTGCTCCACTGTGGGTCCCCCACAGGGTCACAAGTACTACGGGCAAACCCAGTTCAGTGTGGGCTCCTCTCCATGGGTCTGCAGGTCCCTGCCAGGACCCTGCTCCAGCACGGGCCTCCCACAGGGTAACAGCCTCCTCTCAGGAATCCACCTGCTCCAATGTGGGGCTCTTTCATGGGTTGCAGGGGCACAGCCGCTTCACCGTGGTCTTCACCACAGGCTGCAGAGGAATCTCAGCTCTGGCACCTGGAGCACCTTCCCCTCCTTCATCCCTGTCCTTTGTGCCTGCAGAGTTTCTTCTCTCACTTGTTCTCACTCCACTCTTTTCTGAACTGCAATTACTTTTATGCAATACCTTTTTTTTCCCTTCTTAAACATATTATAACAAAAGTGTTATTACCATCACTGATTGTCTCAGTCTTGGTCAGTGGTGGGTCCGTCTTGGAGCTGTCTGGCTTTGGCTCTGTCAGACATGGAGGAAGCTTCTAGCAGCTTCCCTCAGAAGCTACCCCTGTAGCCCCCCCCCCCCTCCCCTCGCAAAACCTGGCCACACAAACCCAACAGAGTAAGTAATCTTCAGTCTTCTTTATGATAATCTGAATAGGTTTTATTTGTAAGGTGAAATAAACACGGGCAGGAGGCTTTTCTCCTTTTTAATGCCTTTATTAAAAGTGATCAGCTCTTGGGGGGAGAACCGATGGGTCTGTGCTCACGCCGCTGCTGCTCCCAGTAGCGACTCGGTGGAGGAGGAAGTGTGCAGCTTTATTTGCTCGTCTGTGGGCAGAACTGGGGATTCTGTCCTCACGTGAGCGTCGGGAAATCCCTTGCTCTTTCTCATCGACCTCCAGGGTCCTGGCTCTGGCCGAGGTCCTCCTTGGCTAGGGCGAGGGGCAAAAAAGGGGTCTCAGCGTCTCTGCAGGCTCTGGACTTTGTTCCTCACGTCTAGTCATCACTTTGATTCGTCAATTTTGTGTTGGCTCGTTGTTTTAGGGGTTTTTGGCTAGGTTTGGTGAGGGGTCTCTCCCGCTGCATGCTGGATCCGATGTCATTTGCATGTTGACTTGATGTCCCTTCCCCTCCACCATCTGGGTGTCATCTTCTAGGCAGCAGCAGTGTCATTCGACAAAAGGCGGAATTCTTAACCATGAAGGACAGGTAGTTAACGAAAACGACTGGTGATTAGAATACCAAACAGTTAGAACTCCACACTGGCAGCAACTGGTCCAACCTGTTCACTCTGCAACCTTTTAAAAAAAATTGGCAGCTTTTTCTGCTTATAACATAAGGCATTTTCCTTAACTGTTGGAACATTTCTGTGCTGTATCCAAATTTTGAATAGTCCTCTTAAAAATGTCAGTGCCCCAACCTCATGTGGGGGTAAAATACCTGTTTATAATCCTAGTGATTACATTGACACTATCTGCTAAAAAAGCTTACTTGAGTCACTTTTTCACCTTTAAAATGCTTTCCAGGTTCTTTTCAGGTTGAAGCCCCTCATTCTATCACCTACCAGAGCTTTAACTCAGCATTAGAATATGAAAAATTTATAGTGCAATTCAGTAAACCAGAGGAAGGACAGCTTTGAAGAATATGTAGTCATTTACAAGCTGATGGCAGGACTTTGACTTATTTCTGATTTTAATGAGTTGTTCCTGAAGTCACATAAATAAGTGAGAAAAGTTTCTATAGATTTGCATTATTAAATAAGATATTTTGAGGGCAAGCAAGGTAAGAGAAAACTTTTAGTATTTTAGTACATAAGAATTTGAACTGTTTCAGGGAAGAAAATGAAAAGAGAAATTTTTTTCTGGCATTGCATATTTTACCCATTGTGTTCTTGCAGTATACTTTATTCAGTGTATGTAAGTTCTTTCTGAAAGCTGATGATATTGAAGGTACTAAAATGTACTTGTACTGTGATTACTACATAAATTACTCTTTTTGTTTTTTAGAATTGTGATGACTTAGTTTGAAATATTTCCATAATTCAATTTTTTTGCATTGATGATTGCAAGTCTTTTTGTGAAGGCATGCTTAATTAAGAAGTAAACATTTATATGTGCAGCTTTTAGAATTAATTATTTTTGTGCATATAGGTAGCTTAAAGCATGTTGTCTTAATATGGTAAAAGGTTTTGAGTCTCCTCTCAAAATTTAATAATAGTTGCAGCTTATGTATACAAGTGTAGTTAGAGAAGAATCAGGCCTGTGAACAGATGTTTTTCTAAAAGTTCTTTAAAGCAGTAAATAGGTTTGTGTGTGTGCACCTTGCTTCTGACTTGATAAATCTATTTGCTATTACAAAGCAGACTGTAAACTGTTAGAAAAAAATCATGAAGTCCAAAGCTTATTCTCTTCTTGATGTGCTACAAGCTCTAAGCAGACCTTAGATTAGACAAAGTAATAATATAGCACATAAAATATAGAATATAGAATATAGAATATAGAATATAGAATATAGAATATGAATTTTCTAATATTTTAGGCCAAAGCAGCATTTTAAAAAATGAAAAATAAATATGTCTGTGTACTTATGTAATAGTACGTGACACAATCTTTAGCTAATCCCCTGATTTGATTTTGGGTGAATATACTTCTTTTAAGATCTGAATAAATGACAAAAAGCAAAGAAGTTTGCGCTGAACTTTTAATTTTACATTTTAATTTTATTCAGAGACCACGATGCAGACATCAGAGTCTGGATCAGACACAGGTTCGACTGTGACTTTACAAGCATCTGTGGCTGGCCAGGCAGCAGTGCCCACACAGGTTGTACAGCAGGTACCGGTTCAGCAACAGGTAGGTGTCTGTTAATTCTGGGAAAACAAAAAGCCCTGGCAAGACAGAATGATGCATTTCAATAGGTGTAGTAAAGAACTGATTTTGTACAAAGCTGCAAAACCAATTCCTTTTCACTGTTTTATTCAATTTTATTTTGATGAAACTAAAATATCTACATAAGCAGACATGCAGTTTTCAGAGTTTATTTCTTGAACTAGAATATTTGTCAAACACCAGAAATATATATGCATGATTCTATAAGTAGATTACTATGAAATATGTGCAATATCTCATAAAAATTACATTCATTTGAGTTACTGAATATTCACTTCTATTCCTTTGAAAGGAATATGGATTTTTAAAATAAATTCAATATAGATATAAAATTCAAAAGCAATGTAATTTTGTACTTCTAAGCTGATCTCCCTGCAGGTTCTTGAGCAAATGCAGAAAGACATGTGAAGTAAAACTGTGTTATAAATGATCAAATCAAGAGCCAAACTTATAAGAAAATTTAGCAAAGATTTATTAATTTGTCCGCAAGACCGAATTTCCGTCGTCAAAAACCACCACAGCCAAAGAGTCAGCGTCGAGCCCGGGATCGATGCTGGGTGAACCTGGATCTGACCTCCAAAATGTCAGAGTCTTCCCCTCAGTCAGGAACGCTGCTTTGAGCAGCTTATTCTGCCCGAGGCAGAGATGACCAAATGTTCTTTGTGTCTCTTCACATGCAGAACTGGGGCTTTACATGCGCAGAGTTGGACAAAGATCCAGTCCAGGTGTCTAGATGATGTCAGAGAACTTTGGAGAAGTTAGCATTCACATGCATCAGGGTGGCGCCACGGTAGATGTAATCGAGGCGATAATCACTCTTGAGTGGTCCTGTAGACCCAGGGAAGCCGGTGATTATCACCCTGGAAGCTTCTATTCTTACGTTAAAGAACCCGATGTTATCTTAAGTAGTCCAGGAACTAGATGTATTATGAATAAGACACTACTCCTGACCAGGGTGGTCAAAAGACAGAGTTTGGATCTTACAATATTTTATATATTAACAGCATGAATTATCTCTACCATATATTACAGTAAGTAATGCATAATTTGGATTTGTCAGGGAATTAAAGGGGCTTCTGAAGCAGCCAGCTCAGCACACACTTCTGTCACATGATTAATTACCTATGCAGCCCCACCAACATTGGAGGGTGTGCTGCATGGGGAGATCGAGGAGGGAAACAGGAGTTGGAAAACAGGAACTGAATGTGAAAAGCCATGACTTTTGTTCAAGACTCCTTTAGTATGTGTAATTTAGCTTTTTCCTTTTTTAAAAAAATTCTTTGTTCCAGTTAGAAGGGATCTACAATGACTGTCTACTTCAACTACCTGACCACTTCAGGGCTGACCAAAAGCATAATATTAAGGGCATTGTCCAAATACCTCTCAAACACTGACAGGCTTGGGGCATCAACCACATTTCTAGGAAACCTGTTCCAGTGTTTGACCACCCGCTCAGTAAAGGAATGTTTTCTAATATCTAGTCTGAACCTTTTCTCATGCAGCTTTAAACTATTCCTACTCATCCTGTCACAGGATACCAAGGAGAAGAGATCATCATCTCCCTCTCCACTTTCCCTCCATTCAGCTGTCACTGTTGCAGGTTATTTGGGTGAAATCTGATGTTCTTTTTTCATATAACTTGGCTTTACAGTTTCAAAATCAACAATATTAAAAATGAGAATATCTTGTTAAATTATGTAAGTCTGTTTCTGTACTAGTGAATCACTGTTGTCGAAACTAAAATTTCTAGCATTGTGTTAGGTTTAGTCTTAAAATTTAAGGTGATTTTTGTTTTAAATTATCAAATCAGTAGCCAAAATTATGAAAAATTTAACAAAGATTTATTAGATCAATAACAAAAATAGAGATTTCAAAAAAAAGAAAAACCACCACAACCAATACAGCGTCAGCCCCGGGTACAGGCGCTGGATGACCTAGGGTTCCGACTGACAGAGAGACAGCGTTTCCCCCGAGGTACACCCTGAGTGCTTCCAGTGGCCAGCTTATATACAGTTTATTCTGCCTGGGGCAGGGATGACCACATATTTCTTTGTGTGTCTTCACATGTAGAGTTGAATCCATACAGGTGTAGGAACAGACAAAGGCAAATCTGGAGATGCAGACGAATGTCTGAGTGTCCAGGCAGAAGCTGCATTCGCATGTAATGAAATGATACCAGTTCCTGAGTACCGCTGATGAAATCATGCCCAGGTGCAGGTGCAGGTCATGTGAGCTCCTCGAGACATTCCATTCCAGGAAAGTCCAGATGCTATCTCCCAGGTGTAGGAGCCAGAGGAAATCCTCTGTAATAGCCTGGGATCGTCCCATTCATACGGTAACAGACCTGATGTTATCTTAACGCTGTCCGGGAACTGGTTACAATAAGAATAGAACTCTGTTCCCAGCCAGAGTGGTCAGAAGCATAACTTTGGATCTTTACAATATTTTATACACATACATATCTACTTCTATAGCATGAATTATCTCTACCATATACTACAATTTTTTTTCTGCATGTGTTGTGGGTTAATGCTGGCAGAATGCCAGGCACCCACAAAAGCCGCTCACTCACTCCTATCTGCAGCTGGACAGAGGAGATAAAATTTAGCAAAGGGTTCATGTGCTGAGATAAGGACTGGGAGAGATCACTCATCAAATACCATCATGGTCAAAACAGGCTCACCTTAGAGTTACAAAGTGAATTTATTGCTAACAAAATCAGGGCGGGATAATGAGAAGTAAAATTAACCTTTAAAAACACATTCTCCCCACCCCTCTCGCCTTCCCAGCTCTACTGCCTACCCCAGCAGCATAAGGAGACAGGGAATGGTGGTTATGGTCAGTTCATCACTCGAGGCTTCTGCTGCTCAGGGAGAGGAGTCATTCCCCTGCTGCATCGTGGGGTCCCTCCCATGGGAGACAGTTCTTTTGAACTTCTCTGACGTGAGTTCATCTCACAAGCAACAGCTCTCTGCGAACTGCTGCAGTGAGTCCAACCCACAGGCAACAGTACCCCTCAAACTGCTGCAGTGTGGGTCACTCTTCCATGGGGTGCAGTCCTTCAAGGACAGATAGGTCCATCCTGGGAGAAGGGCTCCTCCCTCGACAGGTCTCCCATAGGATCACAGTTTCCTCCCAGGTGGCATGGGGCTCTTCCATGGGTTGCAGGTGGATCTTTGCCTCACCGTGGTGTTACAGGGCTTGCAAGGGTTTTTCAGGGTGAAGAGGAGACGAGAATCTTGACTCCATGTTCAGAAGGCTGGATTTATTATTTTACAATATCTATTACATTAAGACTATACTAAAAGGAATAGAGAGAAAAGTCTCAGAAGCTGCTAAGCTAAGAATAGAAAAAGAATGAATAAACAAAGGAGCTCTCTCTGATTCTGCCCCCGAGAGAGCTCGGTCTTTGATTGGCCCTTAATTGTAAACATGCAACATGGGCCAATCACAGGTGCACCTGTTGCATTCCACAGCAGCAGATAACCATTGTTTACATTCTTTTTCTGGGGCCTCAGCTTCCCAGAAGGAAAAATCCTAAAGAAAGGATTTTTCACAAAAGATGTCTGTGACACCGTGGTCTTCCATGGGCTGCAGGGGGACAGCCTGCTTCACCATGCTCTTCACTATAGGGTGCAGAGGAATCTCGGCTCTGGTGCCTGGACCACCTCCTCCCCATCCTTCTTCATTGACCTTGGTGTCTGCATAATTGCTCTTCTCACATGTTGTCATTCCACTCTTCTCTGGATGAAAATTACAACTGCGCCACAAGCTTTGTTGCTTTCTTCTTAAATATGTTATCACAGAGGTGTTACTACGATTTCTAATTAGCCCAGCCTTGACCAGTGGCATGTCCATCTTTGGAGCCCCAAGGGATTGGCTCTGCCAGACATTGTGGAAGCTTCTGGCAACTTCTCACAGAAACCACCTCTGTGCCCTCCCCAACCAAAAAACAGTCCATGCAAACCCAATACAGCATGTTCTTTGCAATACTGGTTAACTGTCTCATACATTTAACTAATAATATTTCCTGGTATACAGACTCAACTCATAATGCATAATAATTGCATTAATATCACTTCTACTTATAATGTACCTTGGAATACATTTGCTTTTTTTTCAGACATGCCGTCTTCCCCCAAACCCCCAAAATGCAGTGTTTCAACAAAACATTCAAATATTGTGCACTTAACATGAATTTAAAAGCTTATCTTTGTGTACTTTCTCCTCTTTTAGTTTAAAATTATTCCCTCTTGTCCTGTTTCTATCTGCCTGTGGGAAAACTATAAGGTTTTTCTATTATTGTGCTTACATTTTAAATTCAGCTACTATGGTGCTTTGGCTTAGTAAAGATTTCTATGAAGCTTACTATGGTTAACTCTTTAAGCTTTGCTTCAAACTTTTGAAAACTAGATATAGTTTATATCAGAATACATTTTCAATAAGGTATTACTTATGTTCTAGTGTTATTATTTCAAATATTTCTGTTTCACTATTTCAACTGTACTTAGGAGCATTTTCTGATTCTGTTGGACTGTATTTTTCAGTTAAGTCTTATTTTGAAAGTATAAGTTATGTAAGGTTTCAGAAAGGAATGTTGGGGGATCAGCCTGGCCAAGGAAGAGGAATTTGCTGCAATAATTTGTATAGACTGAAAAGGTGATGCATATGTAGTGAAAGCCAATCCAGATGATTCTGCAGTAATTAGGATGGAATATGATAGAGATACTAGTTTAGAGAGAAAAGGATAGATTATAAAAGTGTTGAGAAAAAGTCAGGAATTCTAAAGGAACTGAAGGTGTCAGGCAGCAACTAGCAGAACAAGATGACAGTCTTAAGCTGAACCAAGGGAAATTTAGGTTGGATGTTAGGGAAAAGTTTTTTACTGAAAGAGTGATAAAGTACTGGAATCATCTGCCCGGGGAGGTGGTGGAGTCGCCATTCCTGGATGTGTTTAAAAAAAG